TCATTAATTATAGGACTTGCCTGACCATCTTCTTCTGAATGACTTTCTTCCTCCAGTTCGACAAACTGACCATTAACCGGTTCCTTGTAGTTATATCACTGAAAGATATTGCTAAGTGATGATAGAAGGCTGGTGTAGCCTCCCGGCAGGCTCGCATGCACTGTGGCACGACCAAATGCAAGCAGTGTGACGAGTTAAAGCCTCTCATCATTTCAATTGGCAGGACCCTCGATCAGCGGCTCGATTTTATGAAATAAAACCTTTAATTAACCTCTCTGAAATTAAAACTTCGCGAAATATCGCGCTAATCCGAAATCGAGAAATTAAGTACGCGCGAAAATAAGTACGAGTAAAGTAGACAAATGACAATAACATGAGCCTTTTTTGATATGTGGCAGCTTAAGAAAGATGCTGAAAAAAAAAACCGGCATGTTTAAGGGAAAAAAAGCGCTATGCAATATTATATTGACACATTCAGGCATCTTGTAATAATTACGTCCTAATTACCTAATTACCATCGTCATCATCATCTTCACCATCGTCCCTAATAAGGCTAAGAACTATCCAGACTTTTGCTGTTCTATTCTTAGAAATAACAGGTAATATAAAAACTTAAGGTAATAGGTAAATTGGATTTTACTGCATAAATCTGAAAGACAACAGTAATTAAAAGTGTGTACCATGTAAATATTTTCAGTACCTTACATTTTTACCCTTTTCAATTCCAATAGGAACAATTTTACGATAGTTTAACCAGTTTTAATTAAGAAATAGAAAACATGTTCCGTGTTTCTATCGAGTTACAGGAACACGAGTGGAAGTTTGAGAGAACGAGAAATGCTGTAGGAACACGAGCAGACAGGCGAGTGTTTCCACAGCTTTTTCGAGTTCTCCCAAACTTTCACGAGCGTTTCTATAACTCGATAGAAACATGAAGAAAATGTTTTCTTTTAGAAAATACCGCGACAAAAAAGAAAACAGCTTGTTTATTTTGATCATCAAAATGTAAATTCTCTTTGCTTGCGCCATCGTTACGTCAGTGTTTCCGTCGAGTTATAGAAACACGTTTGCTAACCAATCAGCGCACGAATTATGGCAGACAACGAATTATGGCAATTCGGAATATTAATTATGGCAATGTTTCACTGTTATTTTAGACAGGTTTGATATTACAAAATGAAACAAACATTTTGCAATTTACGACAGATGTAACACACAGGGAACAACGGAACAACACTTTTGTTAAACTTTATTATCCCATTTAGAATTTTTAGCTGTGTACTTGGGTGAGAAGCCTAACTCCCTACTTGTGGACATATGTATCTCAAACTGGGTTTTTGCGCCGGCAATTTTGAGGAATTGTGGCTAACATTCGTCACTTAAAACAATAATCTATTGTTAGATAATTACGAGGCCTTGTTTGACTTCTATTCATAAAAGAGATAGGTGGAAGACAAAACGTCACAGATCACACCCGGTATTCAAAAGNCATTTTGCAATTTACGACAGATGTAACACACAGGGAACAACGGAACAACACTTTTGTTAAACTTTATTATCCCATTTAGAATTTTTAGCTGTGTACTTGGGTGAGAAGCCTAACTCCCTATTTGTGGACATATGTATCTCAAACTGGGTTTTTGCACCGGCAATTTTGAGGAATTGTGGCTAACATTCGTCACTTAAAACAATAATCTATTGTTAGATAATTATGAGGCCTTGTTTGACATCTATTCATAAAAGAGATAGGTGGAAGACAAAACGTCACAGATCACACCCGGTATTCAAAAGGCAGAAACCCAACCTATAAGGGAGCTTAAACTGCTCTACTGAGAAAAACATCTTTTATTCAGGTAAGTTACCTTTGTTGGAGAACTTTTAACATTAACAACTACTTAACATACTGCTCTCTATTTTATCGCTGCAATGCTAAAGACGTGGTACAAGATAACTTCTTTCTGAAATCCGTTCCCGTTTGTTTCCCAAAATAGAATTTAAGACCATGTAACATAT